AGTATAGAACCTTTGGGCAGACTACTTAAATTAGACAATGACTAAAGTTGTATGAGTGGCTAGTTGTATACTCTTTTCATGGTTGCTCCTTGTGGTTGTAATGCAACCATTAGCTAAATGTACTATCAATAAAATTCTGGATCACAAGTACTCACCTTAATATTTAAAAAAAAAAATGATAAGAGTTGTAAAGATTTGTATAATTAAATGAAAAAGATGATAACAATAAGTGTTGTTTAGTAAGAGAATTTGTTTGCTTATTAAGATATTTATTTGAATAGTTCTACATTTTATAAAAAATGATTTGTAGTTTTATAATTTAATAATATTTAGAAGAGTATACTATATTGACTATAAATTGAATTTAAATAACTTATTAGAATAAGTTGGATTAAGTTGAAGATTATTGAATTTAAAAATTACTGATTGAAAGTTAGTAAAAATATTAATAACTAAGTTTCAAAAAGCTGTTGAAATTACAACAATGATTGAAAAAAGTTTTGTTTTGTAGTTATACAGATATTTTATAATCTGCCAGTTATGCTAATATAACTATTGTTACAGATATTTTAATCTAATTATTAGAAACAATTGTTATAATATAAGTATTATATAGATAATTACCCAAATTTTCATTATCAATAGGATTTTAATATCCAATCTAATACTTAGAAGATTGAAAACTTATTTATTTTATTAAGTTACCATACTATTTATTTATATTTTAACTAATATCTTCTTTATAATAATTTATAACAATATTAAAATGCTTTTAAATAAATAAGCAAATAACTTTTCAATTAATCTAATTAATAATTTTATTATTTTTTTTTAGTATTAAGATAATCTTTTTGGTCTTTTAACTTTTATTAATGACTTTTTAATAATATAATTTTATAAACTAATACAGAAAAATATACAATTAACTATATATATAACTTTTTTATATTATCAATTTAATAAGTCTATTTGAAGATTTTTTACTACTTGTTATATCTAATATCTCTGCTTGGGTGTTCTACTTTAAATCCTCTAAACCTGCAACCTGTATTAACATCATTAGGTTATATTCAGATACTCAGATTATCATTTTAACCTTAAGATTATTTTATCTTTAAAGTAAACTCTTAGAGTTTTCTGTACTTGTAGTTAAGACTTAATCATTAAATTGTTATGTTTTTGTAGAGTTCATACAAACTTAAATATCTATTTTATAGCATATCTGAAATATTTTAGTATATTTCTATCTTTTTATCAGACTTCTAATTTAGATAACCTATATAGAATTATAATCAGTTTATTAGTATATTAGATTAGTTTAATATTTTTTTTTTGATTCATTCTAGTGACCTGGTTGGTAATACCTCTAAGACTTTCAATCTGAAGATTTTTGTTTATCTAGATATTATAACTTTGGTATTTGTTTTATAAGATTAGTTTTTATAATAAAATTATCAAAAATCTGACTATCTCTTTATTTAAATCTTTTCAAATAGACTTTTTGTTACCTAATTTCAATAGATTTATATAGTTACAAGAATTTATCTAGTATTTGTACTATCCAATTATCAGTTTGCATTTCTCTGTATAATGCTATACTTATACAGATGTCTTATAACCTGTTAGACATGTTGGTATAACTGCTATTACAAGTATTTCAATTCAATTATTAGTAACAGTTATTATAATACAAGTATTATATAAATGATTATTCAAATTTTTTACTGTTAATAGGATTTGAACATTCAACTTACTACTTAAAAGATTAATAATTTGACTACTTCACTAGATTACTATACCTTTATAATCTTTTTATTTAGTATTATTAAGAATTATAATCTATATACAATATATCTTAACATTAATAAAAATTTGCTTAAAATATTACTTTTAAAGCTAAACATACAAGATTCATTTTTTTATAATATCTACAATATCTCAAATTTTATATAAACTATTAACATTATATAAACTATTAATAAATAGTTTTTATAAGTTTTTTTTTAACCACAGGCTTGATATAATGTTTTAACCTACATCTAAGATTTTTTTCAACCTATTTTAACTAAAAAATAATTTAAAATAAATATTTAAATTACTATTAGAAAATAAAAAATGTTATTTCACTTTAAGTTCTTAAAAAAACAACACAAATGTAATTTAAAAATCTTTATTTTAGAAATTTTCTTTATTTGTATTTAAATTTCTATTTTATATTTTAAAGTTTTTACTATAACATTATATAAATAAAAACAAAAAAAAATCATTCAAATGTTTTTTTTTTTTTTTTTTTTTTGTTTAAAGGCTGATGTTAATGATGTCTAATGCTTTTATTGTGTTTTTAGTGAATATATTATATATTACTTGTACAGGATGAGCATACAACTAACCATATGTGTAACTTTTGGTTACCTATTTAAGTAGTCCGCCCAAGGGTTCTACACTAGCTGCCATATCTATAATCTACTAGGAGACTATCTAATTAAACACTCTGATTCCTATACTGCACCCAGGCAATTAGTACCCTGGTTCCTGTACACCTAAGTGCCATCTAACCCAACATTTAGCCTCCCTTCTGTACGTCTGTCAAGCCGTTACACAATTATTTTCAGAGCACGACACCTTTTTTATGTCTTTAACAATATCAATTTCTATATTAATGCTTATACTATATTGACAACAATATCAAAGATTATGATTTTTCACCAAAATTAACATCTTTAACAGTCTTTACATTTTTTTTAAACACCACTCTTATAATAGAATCTGAGATTCAATTTCCATCAAGATCGCAGATTTTAAATATCAATAAAATGCTTTTTCTCAGTACCTACGTCATGTTCATAGCAATATATAAAAATGATTTGTTAATAATATATTAGATATTTCAATTTTTTTTTGAGTATAAGGCAAAGTTTGAGAATCAATGATTGTGACGGATTAAAACGAAATCAGATTAAAATGAAATGAGTGATAATGTCAAATAGACAAGCCGCCGAAAAATACAAATTTTTGAGGTGATTTTTTTAGCATTTTTTTAGGGTTAGAATTAGTGTTTCGGGTAGAGTTTATAATAAACAAGTATAAGTGGGTTTTAGGGGGGACAAATAGAAATCTCTCATTTCATTTTGATCTGATTTCATTATGATCCGCGACAATGATTGCTTACGGTAAGTTCGAATTTAGATCGCAATTTAAAAATAAAACCTGTGAAGTGACAGAAGCAAGTAACTTTAACTTAATTTTATTCTAACACCAAACAAGTTCGTCGATTTGTGTATCTAGTTGAATAAATAAAAAGAAGACTGAACAAATTCATCAATTCATCAATGATGGTGTCGAATTGATAGTCGGTGAAATGACGTGTCGGTTCATAGACAGAAGTTTGTCTGATTGGCTAAAAAATTCAACTTAATTTTACATTATTTATACAGTTTAGAGTACTTTTTAAAAAAAACGAAACCTAATCATAATGAAATAAAAAAAGCCGTATAGAAGATTCATTAGAGCTGTAGGACTCCATAGCCAAAAATATGACCTAATTCTCGTCCGTTTAAAAACATTAGTATAGTAATAACTTCTCAAACCCCGATAAGAACAACTTATTGCTAAGCCAATTTTTTTAAACTGATATTTGCAGTAACAATGTCAATAATTTATAACATAGTAACGAATGTTTTTAAAAATAAATATAAAATTTGAAAATTTTCTATTAATATAACGATAATAACATTCGTATTTAAAGACGAAATTTAAGATTATATAACAATTTTGCCCATCCCTATTTATTACAAATTCATTTCGTAGACAAAGTTAAGGTTAGCGCGGTTTATAAAAAAAAACTTGCCTGTGAAATAAGATGTCGATAAAATATATTGTCTACAGAACGAACTCGTCTGTAAACTATTTTGTCCGTAAAAATAAGCTTTCGGTATTCTGACCAACAACATAACAACCACTACGTGACTTGCACGCAATAACCCTGCGATCAGTAACATACCAACCAATAACAGGTGAAACAATATATTCTCCATCAATTATATCCTGTCTGGCACCCAAAAACCCTGCAACACAATTCAAATCAAAATGTGATTTTTGTCCTTCAAGTTTAAATTCGACTGGAACGGATACCAATCCAGAAGGAACATCATCGCCAGTAATCATATTTTTTGTAATCTTAGAATTTTTCGAGTCATATGGAAGTAAAGAACTTATCCATCCTGACCATGTATCAGTTGTTTTGAAAGAACCGAAGGGAACCTGAGAAACAATCATGCTCCAATAACGTTCGCCAACGTTTCCTTTATATGTCTCAGTGAATTGTGCAATGACTGGTTCCAACCTATCTAACCAGAAATCGAGTTCCAATCCCAAATTACGGAGTTTTCCGACCTTCTCTTGAAGATGAAGCCAATCTACTAATGTACCTTCAAGAGTAACCTTCGGAATGCCACATCCGCCACGAAGTCTGTAGACAAAATAACCCTTCATCGAATCTAGCAGGACAACCTTACTTGCAGTAGTAGACGCATTAGTTGATGTTGAGAAATCACATTCAAGGAGTTGTTTCAAACCTGATATTTTAACTTGTCTTTCAACATTATCAGAAAGTTGTTCAATCGCTCGTAGCCAATCTCCATAAATAATTTCATAATTATAAAATAAAAAAGTACGTGCATCAATCTCGATTTTCTTTTGTCCTTCATGGTCGACAAACAAGTGACGAAAACGTTCTTTATTAATCCAAATATGCTTACTAACACCTTGCGCAACTGTTAACCATATGTCGTCTGGTGAGATTCGAAGGTGCTGGTGAAAAGTATAAGCATGGATGATTGCCGAGATTAATCCATGTTGGGTAGCAGGTAATTTGATTATTTTAGTTAAATTTGGATCTAAATTTTTCATATAATCAAATGATATGGTATGAAATTTCAAATTTTGTCCGTAGTAATCTTTAATATCAACATGTTCAAGAAGTTCATTTTTTGGTATAACTTTATCAGTTATTTTTTGTGTGCTTCGCGAAGCTATCATTTTGTCTAATTATCGACGTTATTTGAATGAAAAGCTTTAATTTATTCAGGCATATGTACTCAAACGAAAATCTATTTACACTGTATATGATACTGTACTAAACAGCTACGTACTTACGTAATACACGAATATTAAGAAGGAAACAATGGAACAATGGAACACATTTTGTAATTGTGTAATTGATAAATTATATTATTATTGTTGTTTAAGAGAAAGAAGTAGGGATATAACAGTCCAGTCTTGTCTAATCTTTAATAATTCGGATTAACTGGTCCAGACTAGCCTTACCTTGAGGTTAAAAAACAGAAGTTCGTATGTTTACCTGGAGATAAACTCCGAGTAAAGATGGGCATTATAAACAGATTGGCTAATGTCAATTGCCCGAGTAATTATTTATACAGTTTAAAGTACTTTTTGAGTTCATTGTTTTACCAATTCATCTATTTTACTAATTTCATTAATTTATCAAAATTTTATTTTGGTGTTGTAATAAAATTTATTAAAAATTAGCAAGCTGTAGTAAATTTTAAATAGCATGAGTGTCAAGTAAAAGATCTTTTATTTAAAGAAAAATAATAAAAAATAAATAAAAAATAAATATTTAAAAAGTAGAATTTAAATTTAATAGTCTCTTAGATATTATAAGAGTTGAATAGGTTCATGTATTGAAATTATCATTTGTCTTTTTTATATTAGTTAGATTTAACAAAAATGTTTATCTTTTACAAGGATTTTTAAACTTTTAAACTTAAAAATATCTGTAGAATATAATCAGAAAAAGAAATGTCTTAATAATCAGACTATTTACAATTATATATAGTCTTTAAATTCCAATAATATAAAGTTAGTATTTGTCAAATAACTATTTAAGAAAATCAGGTTTTTATTTTATATTATTATAAGAAAAAAAATTTTAAATAAATAAAGATAAATTATAGAAATTAATAAAATAAATAATAAAATAAAAAATAAGTTTTATCAATAATATTCAAAGAATAATAGTCAAAATGTTAATTTATTAAAGAATTTTAGATAAAATAATAATTACAAAAAGTTTTTTATATATAAAAAGAAATAATTTCAAGAATTATTTTTTTTAAAAACAAAAATATTATTCTTTTTCTAGATTTTAATCTAATAAATAATTAGTTTTAAGATTACTATATGTTGTAGCATCATTTTGAACTATATGAATATCTAAAATATATTAGAAATTAAGAAAAATTATATATATATTTTACTAATAATACTTATATACAAATAATAAACCAATGTTGTATCTTTCTATTTTATCAATATTTAGTATACTATTATGTAATAACTTATATATCAACTAAAAATAAAATATATATTATATATAACCTATATGTTCATCTACAAAATTCTTTAATTATTTAATATTTAAAAAACTTCTTACAAGTATTATTCTAAATATAACTAAAAATAACTATAATAATACATAGAAAATATATAATAACATTATAATAAATATTGTATTATAATTAATAAATATAAATTAACTATAATTAAATTAATTGTTTTATCATTTTAAAGTATTTTAAAGCATCTAAGTCATGATCTGGACTATTTGATCAGAGTTTTTATAATATGTATTAGACAAATATTATTTTAGATATTTAAATAACTATTAGCTAGAATAAAATCTTATAAGAAATCTACTAATAAGATAATTTTAATTTATTAAATAGATAATTAAAACAAATAAAATAATTTATAAATTATATAAAAATATTAAGAAAAATATAAAATATAATATAGAGCTAAAAAATAAATATATAATAATATATAAAAAAGTAAATTCTATTATAATATAATTTTGATAAAATTATTTTATTATTTTATTTAATAAAATTATTTAATTTTATTAGCATTTTTAGTTATAATATTTAAAGATAGAGTATATGTAAATCATTTATCATATAATTTTAATTATAAATTCTTTTATTTTGATATTTAAAAATATTTTTACTAACTTAACTGTTTTTAAACTTTTAATCAAAGTTGTAAAGTAGACTTATATAATTTTAATAATAGTAGAATTATTAAATTCAGATTAAAATTTGTTGAGATAGATTTATTTAAAGATTTGATATTATAAATCTATTATAAAAATTATATAATAAGAGATGTAATGGCCTAATAAAGTGGTTAGGTTGTCAATTTTCCAAATAGTAGATTAGGTATTCAAATCCTATTAATAGCAAAAATTTAAATAATCATCTATGTAATATTCTTATTATAACAACTGTTACTAATAATTAGATTAGAATATCTGTAATAACAGTCACATTAGTATAACTGGCAAATTATAATAGTATTGTCATATAAACACTTTTGAACATTTTTGAATATTTTTTTAAATTAAAATTACTCAAAATTTTATTAAAATAATAAGGGAGGTGGGGGTATTGTGGTCAAGTTAAAGTTTCTACTAACAAAACTTTTTATTGAACAGTTAGATTTTTAT